CCCCCCCCCCCCAAGTGAAAATTCCTTAAAAAAGGCACTGAAGTCTTTTTTGGAGTATTGGTGTTTTATAAACTGCAACAGGAAATATATTTTTACAGTATTGAATAAAATTATTTAATAGTTGTCCGACATGGTAAAAGCGTTTGAAAAGGTCAATTAAAACAACGTTTTTATTTCTTATAATTTGTTACAGTATTATAATACAGATTTCAAAATAAAGATTTCAAAATCGCATCACAGACACATTACAGAGATCGTATTTTTACTCCTCCTCAGGCATATCCTTTTAGCCCGCGAATGGGCGGGCACTGCTTCCCACAATGCCATGGTGTCTTGAAACACGAGGAAGAAGGGGGAAGTTATTTTGTCGCTTAAACTTTCGTACGAAAGGTCTGTTTTTATACCAGTATGGGTGTTTTATTGAGAAATATGTATTTAAGATGGGAAACAAATTGTTTAACAGTTGTCCAAGATGCTAAAAGCGTATGAAAAGGTATGAGAAAAACGCGGATTGAAAAGGATTCAACTACCCATATGAAGTACAAATAAACTGAACTTTTTTTGTACTGTTCCACAACAGCTTTTTATATCGTCATGATGTCATCTTTATTTTTTTATACAGCAAGCTTACAACAAGACTAAAATATGAACAACACAGCTTCGCTTAAGCAACACGGAGAAGTTTATGACGCTGTTTCAGCTTTCCGCAAGGTAAAACTTTATATTCTCATGTTCTTTTAATATCTTTTAATGCTGGTGTTTTATTAACTGCCATGAGAAATAAATTTGTTACAGTAATGGAATAAAATTGTTTTATACAGTAGTTGTGTCCAACATTCAAAAAGCGTTTGAAAAGGTTAATGAAACTGAAAAAGTTTTTATTTTTAAAAAAATATTACAAATCTTTTTGAAAATCGCATCACAGACACATTACAGAGATCGTATTTTTGACTTCCTCCTCAGGCATTTCTATGGGTTTTAGCCCGCGAATGGGCGGGCCACTGCTTCCCACAATGCCATGGTGTCTTGAAACACGAGGAAGAAGGAGGGAAGTTATTTTGTTGCTTAAACTTCAGTACGAAAGATCTTGATATTGGTGTTTTTATACCAGTGCATTGGTGTTTTATTGAGAAATATGTATTTAAGATGGGAAATAAATTGTTTAACAGTTGTCCGAGATGCTAAAAGCGTACGAAAAGGTATGAGAAAGACTCGGATTGAAAAGGATTCAAGTACCCATATGAAGTACAAATAAACTGAACTTTTTTGTACTGTTCTACAACAGCTTTTTATATGGTCGTTTTTCTTTTTTTGTACTAGTATTGAAAGCTGGAAAGAAGCTGCTAAAGCAAAGGCGAAAGCAAGATGGTTTAAAAGAATTCAAATATTACTTCAACACAGTTTGAAATGTTGAATTTTTCGCTTCGAATTTTCCAGCATCTTGGCGAAGCCACACCCGACTTCAAAGAAGAATGCTTTATAAAAGAACGCATTTTTAAGGTATATTTTCCCTTATTCTTGTTGTATTTATATGTAAAAAGCTTTCATGTAGTTGCATGAATAGTCTATATATTTTAATACGAGTTTTTGAAATAATTTTTTGTGATAAAACAAGAAGTTTTGCGTTGAAATTTCGGAAAGGAAGATATAAAATAGTTTTCATGATTTTGTATACAAGTTTTAGTTTAATGGTCCGGCCTTCTCATCATATAATAACACATGAAATAAAACAAATTTGTTACCGTATATAAAGCTGCATGGTTTGAAATAAAATTTTGAAAATATGTCCTATTTTGTAGGCTGTTTTTTTTCCAGCCAATTCAGGTGAAAATTTTTGCCGGCTATTTTCCAAGCGAAGTTTAAGTTTAGTGTTCTGGAGTGGGCATAGGCCGAAGAACAGTGATGTAAACCAACACAACATTTGTAAGAACAGGAGAACACTTTATTTGGTGTACGAAGAAATGGGTCGTTCCAGAAAAGATCCACACTCCCCCCCCCCGGACATCAAAGCCCGAAATTTAACTGAAAAACATTAGAGTTTACACGTTTGTGTTCACACAAAGCTATCAAGCGCTCCGCCATTTTCACCTCACTCCGTTTAGAAACCGTGCTCAAATTGTTACGGCAAAAGTGACGTGAAAGTTTTCAAACGATTTCGCTCCAACGTAGAGTGAATTAGCGATAGCTTATTGTGACTTTTCTACGCTGTTTTCAAATAACTCCGGCGTGGCGGAACACTTGACGGCTTCTTGTGACTTGCGAACACAAACACATGGCAGGTTTTGTCGGATAATTTGCAGAAATTCACTTCGAAATTTGTTCAAGTAAAATTCGGACTGAAATTCAATGTAACTTGCGACTGATTGACAAGCGTTGCTATGTTTACTTACATGTTAATGCATTTTTTAGTATTACTGCATTCCTTAACCTCGCCCTTAATATGAAGGCCATTTCTATTTTCTAGACATGCACCTCGCAAGAAAGCTTTATTGACTATATACTAAAACAAATTGTTTTGAGTTCAGTTCACAAAGAAGTCTCGAATTTGAGCAACAGTCTAATAACTATTATTTTTAACACTTGAATAATTCAAACTTGTATATACGAACGAAAACTGCAAAACTTTACTTTTATATAAATAAAGCGTGTCAATTTTCGACTCATTCTCATCATGCAGGATACGCTGTTACAGCGAGTTAGTTTTTGGTGGCCATGCATGCAAAAGTGGGCCGCTTCTTTGCTTACGAGTTACGTGGACGTATAATTATTGCTGTTACATAAACGTTCCGGTGTTCAAGAGCTACATATAGCCGATAAAAATTGCGTGCTCATTATAATTGCCGATCACATAGCTTTATCACAGTCTCAAACCTTCAGACAAACATCCACATTCCTCTCCCCCCCCTTCAGACATCCTAAGACATTTTCCTCTCCCCCCCTTCGGACATCCTAAGACATTATTCCTCCCTCCCCCTTTGGACAGCAAAAATTTCCTCCGTGGGGGGGGGGGTTAAGGATCTTTTCCGGAACGACCCATTGTAAGCAAGTCATTGGTGAATAAATATTTTTGCCGATCCCCTATGCTTACCCTGATTTTAGAGGCTCTTTGCGAGGCGAAATAAGCAAGAGACGAGAAGGAAGAGCCTCAACCAATGGTTGCAAATCGCAAAATTCCATATTTGATCGGGTTCAGAATTTGAATCTTGCATGTGATATTTGCAAATATTTTTACAAATGGACAATCACATGCAAGATTCAAATGGGTCGTTCCAGAAAAGATCCATCCCCCCCCCCAGAGGAAATTTTTGCTGTCCGAAGGGGAAGGGAGGGAAGATGTTTTAGGATGATATCCAAAGGGGAAGGGAGGGAAAATGTCTTAGGATGTCCGAGGGGATGGGGGAAATGTGGATATAAGTTTGTCCAAAGGTTTGAGACTGTGATAAAGCTATGTGATCAGCGATTATAATGAGCATGACAATCGGCGCCTATTTCTAATCCTGAGCTGCAAGTCTATTTTCAATTTGTTTTTGTACTCAAGGGTTGTGCTTTTTTGTACAGTACAACCTAATGACTCAGTCAATTCCATAGATACCAGTCCCTCCCCTCCCGCATTTGTTGGGCATTCTACTGTACTTGTTCCCAAGGATGTTTCAAAGATTTCAGGTTTTATACATCCCATTGTTTTTAACACCAACCAAATAAGAATTTGTTACAGAATTTTTCACTGCTGTTTGAGATTAATTGCACTTCAGTTAACCAATCACAGGCTAGAGTGGATCGATATATCCGGTATACCGGTATTTGTTTAGATACCGGTATTGGCGATATTGACAATTCAAAAACACTGATATACCGACATTTTGGTATTTTGCTGTGTAATAACGGATTGAAACGCTACTTCGAGTCGAACTTACTTACAATCTTGTTTAGAAACCAAAGTTACTACTCGCATATGGACGATTTTGTTCTTGTACAGTACTAGCAACTTTGGTTTTAGCAATACCAAGACGTCTTGTTTATTAAATCGCCTTAATTGGAAATATATAAATGGTGAAAATTTTTAAGGAATGGCGAAATTTTTAACGCTTAGCGCCGTTAACATACTTTGATAATGCGAATCTTGTGAAATTTGCACTAATAACAATATGTGTCACATTAATATTTTGTCAAAACTTGATTTTTTTCAACGTTCAGCAGTTCAGTTTGAAAAACACAGTAAAAATACATTCTGATGGTGGTATATCGGTATTCGGTATTTGCGATATCGATCCATTCTATCACAGGCTGGTAATTTTTTCATGTATTTTATTAATTACTGGTATGTAATAATCCTTTATCAATTTATTTATCTAGGTTAGATACATCATTGTGTTCAACTGCATGTCACAGTCATAATGGAAGATTTAAAGGTGCTGTGAAACCTAGATCATTTCAAGACCAGATGGTTGTGCGAGGCAAAAAAATGATTCTGTTGGATTGCTGTCGAGAAGAGTAACTGCGTAAGAACAAACTTTTTATTTTTTATTAGTAAATATACAGGCAAACCTGGAAATAAGCATCTGGTCACAGTCATTGACTGGCACAGTGCTGTGATGTCATTGTTTTTAAGGCATTCACTTGAATGGGAAAATATTATTACTAGGGGCACCTACTTGCAGTTGATTTCACGAAACGTTGACCACAAATGTTCCGAACTTTGTTGTTAAGTTCGCAAGTTTGTTGCGAAGTTCACAAGTTCATATTGGAATTCACAAGCCAATTTGTAAACAAAGTCCCTGATTGGTCCCCGAAGTAAAATAAGCCAATCAAATGCGTAGTTTACAAATTGGTTTGTGAATCTCATTATAAACTTTTGAACTTCACAACAAACTTGCCAATTTTGCAACGAAGTTCGGAACATTTGATGTAATAAATGTTTCGTGAAATCGACTGTAAAACATATAATCTTTATAACATAGTCAAGTTCCATAGAATATGCCTGATAAAATTGGTCTTTTTTTCTAATAGGTATAACACAAACTGTTTCATTGAGTTTGGATAATTTGAAACGCAGAATGTGGATTGAAGAATAATGTTCCAAGTATCTTGGTGAGACCAATTGCCATGAGTTGTGTAGTGTGGATGGTTCCATAATTAACAACAGTATGAACACCTGGGACAGACACGCTATGTCTGTGGACTGGTCCTTACGAGGGGAAGATTACTACCTGGTGCACAGGAGGCAGTTTCACGGAGAACGTAAACCATAAATTATTTGTGTTGTGTAGTGTGGATGGTTCCATAATTAACAACAGTATGAACACCTGGGACAGACACGCTATGTCTGTGGACTGGTCTTTATGAGGGGAAGATTACTACCTGGTGCACAGGAGGCAGTTTCACGGAGAACGTAAACCATAAATTATTTGTGTTGTGTAGTGTGAATGGTTGCAATGACAACATGAACAGGTTGAGAGCTAAGATTGATGCAAACAAATACATGTCAGGTAATAATTGTATAATACATGATGCACATATATTTATTAATCTTTTAAACAGTCTATTTTAGAGAATTCTGAAAACTGCCCTCAATATGTCAGTAAGTTGGTATTTTCTCTTAGAACACAAAAGTTTGATTGAGTTTGGACAATTTGAATGACAGCTAGTTAGAATATGGATTGGAGAATAGTTTGTGTTGTTTGATTATATGGTTCCTTTATGATGATATGGACCTATTGGAGAGCAAAGATGGATATAAATGATGACACAAGGGGTAATAATTCTATATTACATGCTGTCCATATGTTTGTTACTCCCCCATGCTAGTGAACAGCTGAAGGCTGAATTGGGTGAAAATGCACAAAACTTTCTTTTGTTGAATTGCCTACATCTTTAATCCATTAAGCGCCAGCATGCTCACCTTGACAAGTAAAATCATCTGGCGTTAGGCAGAGTAAAATAATAAAGTAGAGAGCATCAGGGCGCAGCGGAACTCAATGGTTTAATTCGAAATAAGGCGTAAATACCTGTGGTTCCTGTTCCCGACCGACCCTATTTTGTCAACAAGATTGACCGTGTGACCTTGTTTCCTCCAGGTAGGTTGCAAGCAAAATGATGTCTGTTGTCACACTAATTATTGAACCAAATTGCCTAAATTTGTCCATAGGAAATACACATCTCTAGTTAATATTGATGTGGGACTCTACTGCAAATTGCTCAGCAAAAAAACCCCACCAAAACCATGAAGAAAGTATTCAGAAACAAAATTTATTTCCAACCTTACTGATCCTAATTTTTTCACAATATGAAACCGGAACCACAGGTATTTTTTTTACGCCTAAGTGAATTTAACAACTGTGCAGTAATTGGTATGATAATATCTTGTCATTCTTTTTCAGATTGCATGCCATCATTGTATGCAACAATTTGTCCGACTATCCTGCACCAGACATGTTTTGACCATGACCAGAGTTGCTAACATCTACTTCCAACAATTTGTAAATGCCTTGGGTGTTTTAACATCATCGACTTGTTTCATCCAAAGGCGAGGAGGATTCAGTATCATCATGTACGAGTGATAAAGCAACAACCTTTGAGAATGACATCAATGTTCCCTTGGGCAAGTCTTTCTTTCTTTATATTTTCAAATACTGTGTGTGTGTGTGTTTCTGTATTGATGTGTTCTGTGCTTCTGTGTAAGAATGTTATATTTATAACCGGAGTTATAAAAAAATGTAAATTTCCTTGCTGATAAGGAGATTTCAGTTTTGCAAAGTGGAAACACTGACAAAATGGCTGCTTTTTCGCTGCAAATTAATTGTGAATTTTTTGCAAAAATTTCAGTCACATTTTTTTACACATTGAATATAACAATGAAATCGCAATCGTAAATGAATCCATTTGACTGTTTTGTTTCTTATTCATAAATTGGAAAAAATAGGACTTGCCAAATCCTAAAGGTCTTCTGGTCAATTTCAGATGCAGTGCTTCATTTTAAAATTCATGTGGTGAGCGTGTTTAAATAAAGTTCATTGATCTATTTTATACCAAACTACATATGCAGGTTTTGCTTGAAAACACTTATAATATTCATCTATAACATCCTGATAATTGTGCCAGCCTGTTGCTTTTTGTCATTGAATACAAGCTTCTCGGCAAGTGGGGTTAGTTAATTACTATAAAATACAACATAAAAATTTTAAACCTATCGGATTAAGCAGTTATATTGACTGGCCCAATGTGAGGCTTTTTCTATATAATAAAGTATATAATAAATATAATCAATAAAAGTATATAATAAATATAATCAATTAAAGTATATACAAATTGTCACCTTATCCAATGCAAGCACAATTGTGCACATACCTGTGATTAAAAATTTCATAATTTATGCATGTGTGATCTTTTGATGATGGCAGGAAGGAAAAAATATTTTGGAAACCAGAAAAAGAATAACTGGACATCTTCAAAGGGCATGTTGAGAATGTTATGAACACATATAACCGTCCAGTTCCCTCACTGAACTTCCAAATGTATTTATGTGAATTAAGTAAGGTATAAGTAATACAGGTATATTATGTAAGTAATACTATATTTGAATTCTTCCACTTTCCAACAAGCTGTATTTGTTATTAATTATAATGAAGTAAGATATTTTTCATAACACATGCATTAGAATGAATATAACAATGTGTCAATATATAATAATATGACATATTTTTGATAAATTGAATTGTAATAGAATAACACAGTGCAGTGTACGCAACTAAAATTGGCTTTGAAGGTGTCAACCTCCTTTGATCATTTCTTTTTGTATATTGGTATTTTCCCTCAAGGTGCTGTGTGTTTGCACATGCTGTTTCTTCTCTTTTTCTTTCCATCGTCCAACGTGATGGTTTTCATATCTTCCTTTGTGTCTATGACCTTTCTCAGATGACATTGTGCATTTGGAACAATTGAAATAAAATTAGAATAATTGTATTCGCAAATCATTTCTTGCATTCATTTCCTGCATCTGCTAATATCAGATATTTTGTGAAATTTATTTCATCCAGGAGACCCAGGAGCTTGCAAGGAGTTGTCTCCACTGCATGGTCAGGGTAATGTGCATTTGGTAATAATCTTTTGCTAGGCTTCTGCTGTCTTGAAAATTCCTTTTTTTGAAATTTACTTTCATTGCCAGAGATGCAATTCTTCAATGGTAGACAAATTCTGTATTTTTTGCTGGCCATCTCCAGAAAATCCAACATCACATTGAGAGACTGTCAGTACTCCTGGCATTGACATGACTAGGGTTCGTCAGACATTCATCACTATCTTTAAAACAAGAAGTAATAATTTAATAATCATGACAAAACAACAGAGTTCATCTGTACATCGCAACGCACAAGCCACAAACACAGTGCATTGTCCTTAGTCCCGCCTTGCGTGGTGGTTTGAATCTTGTGGTAAAACACTTACTTGAATAGGAAATTCCATCTCCAGAAAATCCAACATCACATTGACAGACTGTCGGTGCTCCTGGCATTGACATGACAAGGGTTCGTCAGATATTCATCATTATCTGTAAAACAAGAAATAATAATTTAATAATCATGACAAAACATCAGAGTTCATCTGTACATCGCAACACACAAACCACCAACACAGGGCATTCTTCTTTCTTCCGCCTTGCGTGGTGCTTCGAAACTTGTGTTAAAACACTTACTTGAACAGGAAATTCCATCTCCAGAAAATCCAACATCACATTGGCAAACAAAAGAACCTTCACTGTCAGTACACCTGGCATTGACATGACAAGGGTTCATCAGACATTCATAAATATCTGTAAAACAAGAAATAATAATTTAATAATCATGACAAAACATCAGAGTTCATCTGTACATCGCAACGCACAAACCACAAACACAGGGCATTCTTCTTTTTTCTTTCTTGAAGAACCAGTTATTCCACTCACTGTCGTATGAGAACGGCCGAGATTCGACTCGAATTCGTAGAATAACAGTTTAAAAAATGTTTAAAAACACGTGCATCTATAAGAATAATAGTAGACTTGGACCAAGTCGGGCTTGATCCAATTAGTCTAGAATAATAGTTGCGCATGCTATTTCCAGAGATGCAGCTCCTCTTGAAGGGTGGACACAATCTACATCTCTTGATTCGGATATGTTGAAACACCTGTATATATTTAATATATATTACACAAAAAACACGGGTAAATGACTCTCGTGGCGAACCCTCCATGACTTGCCCCATGGCGGCCAACACTTGCTCGCTGGTGAATTTGTATTTCGGAGGTCGTCTCACATGTCTCTGATTGAAAATAAAGATGATTAATTCTCCTTTTAATTGTACAGGAATAATAAACCACACAAATACAAAATACTTGTAAAACTTACGCTCATTTTGGAAAGAAAAAACACGTTTCAGCACGGTTAATAGAACTAGAGGTTTCAGGCATCGGGCAGGACCTACGGCATTCTATTTATAGGCAGAATACTGGAACCTATGCAATTTTGGAGCGGGCGAAAGATTAACCTGCCAATCAATTAGTGCCACGTTGTCATCCCAATGAAAATAATATAAACACACTTGTTTATTAAACACACTTTCATTCATTGATATAAACACACTTTCATTGCCAGAGATGCAATTCTTCCATGGTAGAGAAATTATGTATTTTTTGCTGGCCATGGCTGGAGACACCTGCAAATGTTTAATATATTTAAAAAAAAAAACCCTTCAAATATTCATAAAATTGATCTTAACTTATAGCAGTATAAGGAACAACCTCAAAATGCCTGCAAGAATGTTTGAATCACTCGCAACATACAGTAACTATATATACATTATTCATATTGTCATCCCAATGAACATAATATAAATATACAATTAAATTTTGTATAAATCTAAAAATACAAAGTATAAGTAAGGACCTCAAAATGAAATTGCGTTTCTTAATTTCGCGTCGTATTTCATGCAATGCGCTGACAACCGATCAACCACTGGTGCATGGCAAGCTTTTTAATTAAACACGATTGTCGTTGTGATGGGTTGAGGTTTGCAAAGGACCCTTTTTTCTTTACAATACCTTGCTTTAACCGCCTTGGAGGTGTCTGTTTCTGCAGTATTTTTCTTCGGCCGCTTTGTCTCCTGTGGTGAGCCATCCTCCACCTTCCCCATGGTGGCCAATTAAGAGTTGATCACTAAGTATAAATTTGTTCTAGTATCTCTATTTCTTCGGCCGCTTTGTCTCCTGTGGTGAGCCATCCTCCACCTTCCCCATGGTGGCCAAGAGTTGATCACTAAGTATAAGTTTGTTTGTGTTTTCTTATTTTTCAACGGACTGGAATGGCCAAGGATCTGGGCAACCTTCGCCCAGTAGCCATTTTCTGGAGTATATGACTCATGGTGAACCCTCCTCCACCTACCCCATAGCGGCCAACACTTGCTCGGTGGTGAAACAATACTTCGCAGGTCTTCCCACACGTCTCTGATTGAAAATAAAGATGATTAATTCCCTTTTTAATTGTACAGGAATAATAAACTGCACAAATACAAAATACATGTAAAACTTAAGCTTATTTTGGGAAAAAAAGTACTCCAAACTAAACAATGCTCAATACGTTTCAGACATCGGGCAGGGCAGGACCTAGGGCGTTCTATTTATAGGCAGAAGACTGGAACCTAGGCAATTTGGGGGCAGGCAAAAGATTAACCTGCCAATCGAGTGCCACCTTGTCTTCCCAATGAAAATAATATAAACACACTTCTTTATTACACACACTTTCATTCATTGATATAAACACACTTTCATTGCCATGGTAGACAAATTCTGTATTTTTTGCTGGCCATGGCTGGAGACACCTGCAAATGTTTAATATATTACACAAAACACTTCAAATATTCATAAAATTGATCTTAACTTATAGCAGTGTAAGGAAGGACCTCAAAATGCCTGCAAGTTTGGGTCACAAATTTTGCATCCATGACGCGATCAGGAAATTCGTCAGAAAATTCAATCCATTTCAAAGCTAGTTCATTGAGATCTAATGTCTCGATTGTCTCAGTGAATGTTCCCTTAATTACAAAAAGCTTGTTATTATAAACAAACGATGATGCTGCCACATGAGATTCATTCATTTCTGAAAATATTTCTGCACCATCACACTCGCCACTTGCAACCAAAATATCTTGCTTATGGATATCATTATTGAATTTTTCCTGGATCTTTTCGGTTTTTGCTGCTTCCATTGTCCCATCAAGTTCGATCAAACCTCCTTTCGATCTTACCACAACCTGTATCTGTCTGCAATCCTGAGTTTCCTGACATTCCACTTCCATATCTTCACAATCTTAAATCAATGCAGCACAAAATGAACAGCCTGATCATTGGACAATTGATCAAACAAGACAAGTAGACAACAACCAGAGCGAACCAAAATATAACGATATTCTTATTGGGTCGTTCCAAAAAAGATCCATACTCCCCCACGGAGGAAATTTCTGCCGTCCGGAGGGGGAGGGGAGAAAAAATTGTTTCTGATAATAGTAAATGTATTAGGACATCCGAAGAGGGTAGGGGGGTTAACTTCCTATTTCCTCCGTGGGGGTGGTATGGATGTTTTCTGGAATGACCCATTGATATAAAAAACAAAATCACACAGAAATTATATAGAAATAGCAAAAATGAACCTACCTTTTGTGTAGGACAAAAAGCCCTTACCCTGCTGGCAGTAACTCAAAATTCGCGGGTTTTTTAACTAAAATTTTCGCCTTGAATGAACTTTTATGAATGAACTTTTGAACTCGCGGGTTTTTTGACTGAAATTTTCGCCTTGAATGAACCATATGGAATGAACCCACCCGCAGAGGCTTACATGAAGTTTCTGGTGAGGGAAAGTGAGCGCGCAAGGGGTGATGGACCATGCGCGCTCACTTTTATCATAGACAATCCAGTGAACTATATACAGTTAGGGAGTTCAGTGAGACAAGGACTTGCAGGGGCATAGGAAGGGGGGTGGGCAATGAGGCATTTGGCACAACTCTTTCAGTGTGAAAGGTGAGCCAAGTTGCAATTCACAAATCATAATCCTACTAGACGGTCTCACGCCTTTGGCGTGAGGTTCGCCCCCTCCAAAAAAATTAAGGTCTGGCTACGCCACTGGTTATAGCTGTACGATTATAGCTACAAAGAGTTGAAGTTATTGTTTATATAGCTGAAATTAATAAATTAAAGTTTTACAAAATCTCTCTTCAGACTCGTGCGTTCGCCAAACCTCGACGGCTCATATTTTTTGTTATGCCTTTTTCCTGTTTTGCTCCCCCCCCC